ATTCTTAAACATTTGACAGTGTTTCCATGCTGGGTCGTGTTTTTGGGGCGTTATAGGAACTGGTTGCAAACCGAAGTTCATTTGTGCAATCTCAACAGACACCGTCCACAAAAAGCACAGGTTGATTAAAATTCTGTTGCAAGAAAATAGAAAAGAATGAACAATGAAAACCCAATTTTGTCCAAAATGAAGACCTTCAATCGCAGATTGGTTCATCAATAATTGGAAGCATAAATGTTATAATCGAAAGCTAATGAATCTAAGAAATTGAAGAGTATAACAGAGAGATGGGATGGATAGAACCTTACTCGAAGTTGAATACTTTGTAGGACAAAGGCGGGTTCGGCTTGCTGAAAACAAAAGAAACCGAGTTGGGTTTAGGGTTTGAATTTTTTAGGGCAGGAAAACGCGCTGGTTTTCCTTTTCGCAACGGGATGGGCCGGTTAGGGCAACGACAGTCGGTTATGTTTACTCGCTTTATGGTTAGCCAACCGAATGATCCGGTTATTTGCTGTTTTCTTTTTTGGTCGAACCGGATTTGTTGGCAAGACAACCGGAAGGGCTGGTTGCGCTTCTGTGACACTAGACCGGGCGGCGGCCTGAAGCGATGACCGATGACTGGTTACTGATGTGATTCTCCCTGTTTTTTTCTTGACAATATATACCATTTTGTTCCTTCCATAGGCTAAGATAACATGCTTAATTTTATTTTTATTTTATTTTTCTGATTTTTCAACAACAAATATTTAAATAATTAAGATCTCTCCAAAAAAAAAAAAGGGAATCTTGGGAAACGCCGGCCACTCAGTTCCCAGAGACGGTGGATTCCGTCTCTCCGCTGGAGAACAGACGGTGGTTGAAATGCCGGAGAGATGGTCCGGCAGAGTCTGGCCAAGACAGGGCTGTTGTTTCGACCCAAACACCGGCCGCGGCGACTGCGCTGGACTCCTCCATTGCAGAGGCACCGTTGGTGGAGACGACATTGGGGACTCCAAAATCATCAATGCATTAATACAGCGCGAGTCTGGTGGACGGATTGATTGTTCCCGTAACAATGACTCCTATCGGCGGTGGCGTTGGGTGCGGGGTTGCGGCATGTGCGGCGAATCTGAACAGGTGCTGCCCGTCCGCGTTGAATATGAAAATAACGTTCGATAGAATTGAAATGTTTAGGGAGGTAGACGATGATGAGAAAATGGGTTGTAAAGTCCAAGCCCGATGAAACGGCAAAGCCCATTAATCGCTGCGGCATAGCAAAGCCCATTAATTGTTGGGTTCTGGGTTCTTAATTTTCAATTATTCAAAATTATCCTAGAAAATTAGTCTAAACACACTTAAATCTAATTGGCTGACGAGAGGTTTATGATTGATGTGTTTGATTAGTCAAAGAAAGCGGTGGTTGTCGCAGTCGTGTGATAATCAAGATTAATCCCTAATTTCTTTTTAATGAGATAACCCACTCTCTTCACAATCCACCGTGTCCTCTACATTTATGGATGTATGATGCCTTGAACACACATAAAAACAACTCTTCCTCTATAATTTTACTTCTGCTTTTAACAAATCTTTTAAATTCCTAGCCCAAATATTTGTTAGAAGGATTCGGGGTAGGTTCCAATTCTATTTCGGGAGATTCGATAAGAATTTGGAAAGAAAGTGTTTGTTTTGAGCATTAAGAGTAGATAACTCGTTTCCTATGTTTTTGTTTCTACCGTATGAACTCTTACTCTTAGATTTTTTACGCATTGGACTCTCGCCAATGTTTGTGTTACTCAAGCTGATATTTTCTTTTTCGTTTTGTCCACAATTCCTCACATAGGTGCTTCTCACTAAGATGAAACGCTCCTCCTATCGATGCATTTTTCATCCCACACTTCGGTAGATTGCTTAGTCTCATCCATCTTTAGCACAAGAACGCTCAGTCAATGAGCTATTACACATTCTTTTAAGGATGGTTGCCTCTAGGCAAACCTCTTGGTTGACACTGCACCCTATACCTCCTATATCACTGAACGGTCATTTAGGAGTCTCAGCTAGTGAATTAGGCTATTTCCTTCTAGACGATGAAACTTATCCCGGTATGGTCTTATTTATGAATAATCCATTAAATTTCTTACTACTTTTTTATTTACTTATTTGTTTAATAATGACTTTATTAATATTTTTATTGGTTAAAACAAATCCTATCAATTATTGAAGAACAACAAATTTCTCTCAGAATAATGAATTCAACCAAATGTAGGAGGGCTATCAACTTTAACAACTCCATCATGATTGGTGTCTATCATAAATAGGCGAAAAGGAAAACAAAACAATGATTGGTGGATCATCCTTTGTCAATTCGTCACTTCATAATTGAGTTTTTCTTGTTACGTGTTCATTTTGTGCAGTATAAGATATCTATGAACTATATTGATGATCATTCCATAGTTTGCCTTTGTTCTTCATTTTATACGTTTCTACCATCTTCATCATCATTTAGGCTACACATAAACCAATTATCATTACCTGTTCTTATTATCAAAACAACTTACAAAAGCAGATTGATCTAAAGTTCTTGCATGGCAGCATCTGTAGGGAGTTTGATGGTGAAAGCCCAACCAACCCCTCACTAGTTTTCACTTTTCAAAATTGCCACATTTCAAAGCAAAATCCCAACCCCATGCTTATCCATGGCAACCTCTTGAGTGTGCTTTTACTTTAAGCACACTGTGGTGCCCTAATTTTGAACCAACCCATCCAATCCAAATCTCTCTCATTTCCCCAATAATGGTGTAGTCTTATTCTTTTAATTCACGATAACTCGATAGCAATGGTGGAGGGAGTCCTATTTCATCACATAAGATAGAGAGACTTCATCTAAACGAAGTATTAGTTTTCAATTAATATTGTCATGATTCGATTGGAATGAATAAATTTGATATCGATGACAATGATTCTGAAGTGTATGAAAATTCATGGATAAGTATGAATGGGCAATATGAAGCATGCATGGGACAAGACCTTCCGAATACACTTTAAAAGCTTAGAAAAATGATGCAAAAATAAATGGTATAAGACAAGTACGTTCATTAAAATCTAAAAGAGACAACCAAGAGAAAAGTAGTGGGAAAATATTCATGTTGTCGTAGTGTACACGTAGAAAATTTGTGAGCTCAAATCTTGTTTGGTTCGGCAAAGAGACAAGAGGTTATAAATAAAAGATAATTTTGTTATTAATTCCGCACCCATTTTCTCCTCCATTCCATGCTTGTGGAAGTCTTGGGTAATGCCAAAAATAAAAATTTCCAGCTATCATTCATATATATATATATATATATATATATATAGTCAAACAACGAGTTCGTTACCCATCTTTATAATGGTATGAGTATGGTTTATTTAAGATATAAACCCGCTTGAATTAGAAACATTACCGACAATTCCTTTGAATTTGATAAACATAATTACAAAGTGAGAACAACTTTATTTCTAAGAGAGATTGAACTTTTTTCAGGCGGCCGAGGACTTATTTGACAATGTGTAATTGGAAAGCACGAGGAAAAAAAGAAGGCTCCACATTTCCTTTTCGGTCAAATGCTATTGCTTTCTTGATCGTCTCTACTTTTATTAAAATATTTTGCTATTTTAATATATTTAATTTTTTAAAAATGACTCCGACTAATAGACAAATGTCTCTTGTTTATATACCGATGATCTTTATCTTTTATTAGTGAGTAGTAATTTAATTTGAGTGAATTGATGGGGATATGGGAAGTTGACAAGCAGTGGTGGTGTTCCCCACAAGCTGCCCACCACCTCCAAATTTGAAATGCAGGTCTTATTTGGGAACTACAAAAACCCATTTAATTGTCAACAATCTTCTTTAATGAACTTTTAAATTTATTTAAATCGATATTATTAATATATGGCACCAAGTTGTTGGATAATGAACTAAGTATACATTAATATTAGATTATCGTATTTGAATTTGGTTCGTTTCCCATAGACTTAATCAATTAGAATCGACTTTTTTTGAAAAAAAACATATATATATATTTTTTCACAAATATCAATAATATAAAAGTTATAAAGGATAAATAATAGCAGCGACATACTTTTGGTTGAAAATAATATATAATGGGTTAAATATATAATTTAATATAATTAATAAACAAATCAATGGCAAGAAGTAGACAAAATTGTTTATTACGAAATTGAGAGAGAAGATAAAATAGTTGAAAGTGAGATATGGAAAGAAAACAAAATAAAAAGTAATTATATATTATATATATGAAAATAAATTCTGAAAATTTGTCTCCAGCTGTAAATTTTAGAGGACATTTTTGGTCATCGAAAACACCAATTGGAAATTTAAATGGGTGAACAGTTGGATTCCATTTTCGAGGGGAAAAAACAAGAAAAAAATTAAATAATTTGGTTTTTAAAAATAATATATTTACTACAACAAGGTATATTTGTACGCGCATCCGCCAATCACTCACTCACTCATCAACCCCAATACAGGGGCCATTAATACTATTTTTTTTTATCCACATACAAAATTATTTAAAATAAAAAGTTTTATTCAAAATTTGTGGTGAAAATTAGAAGTTGGAATTTTTACTTTACTATCTAATATATAAGTTTAAAGTTTATGTCTGATTAGAATTAATACAAAATTTTTTGTATTATTTCGTTACGTATGCTAGGTTTGTACTCGCCCAATACTTATTAATCAATTTACAAAGTATGTATTTGTCTTTTTCTTGTAAATTTGGATCTTCCATTTAATTAAAAAAAAATTATTTATTTACTTTTGATTGGATGTCATTTGAATATTAGATCCAATAAATTATATTTTAGTGCAATAACACGTGAGAGTATGAGTTCAAACTTCTTACTTTTGTTGTCGATGATATATTACTTGCTAAGTTAAGCTAGGTAGATAATATATATTATTATTATTATTTGCACACTATATAGTATACCTCTTTGTTCGTCTTGAAAAATTAAAATTGGGAACCGCATATTCATAACATGGTTTAAATACAAAAATGATGATAACCAAAATTAATGGTACAACATTTGTGGGTACTCCTTACTTAATGCACGTTTTGGTACGCAAAACGCACTATTTAAGGAACAGAAACCACTCTGTTCTCCTCTGATATTTCAGTCCCAACAAATCCATACCATTTACAACGCACACAACCCCTTTTCCTTCTCTTCCCTGAGGATTAGAATCGTCTCCATTACCAAATCATGGCCTTCTTCCTCCGCCTGCTGCAGCTTCTTATCTGCTGCGTCTCTTTCAAACAGGGCCTCTGTTTTTCTGCGACTCAGACCATGGTTTTGCCCCTCAAAACACAGATGGGTGTCACTTCTCGGCCTTCCAATAAGCTCAGTTTTCACCATAATGTCACTTTGACTGTTTCCTTAACGCTTGGCTCGCCTCCTCAACCCGTTACTATGGTTCTCGATACAGGGAGTGAACTCTCATGGCTTCACTGCAAAAAAACCCCAAATTTGAACTCTGTTTTTAACCCACTTTCTTCCTCTTCTTACTCGCCAGTCCCCTGTGCTTCCCCTGTTTGCCGGACCCGAACCCGAGATTTACCCAACCCGGTTACCTGCGACCCAAAGAAACTCTGCCACGTCTTTGTCTCTTATGCCGACGCCTCGTCGCTCGAGGGTAATCTCGCGTCGGATACGTTTCGAGTCGGGTCATCGGCTCAACCCGGAACTTTTTTTGGGTGTATGGATTCGGGTTTCAGTTCGAATTCGGAGGAGGACGCGAAGACCACTGGGCTGATGGGGATGAACAGGGGCTCGCTCTCGTTTGTCACCCAATTGGGTTTGCCCAAATTCTCTTATTGCATATCGGGTCGTGATTCTTCTGGGGTTCTGCTTTTCGGCGACGCGAGTCTTTCTTGGCTTGGGAATTTGACCTACACGCCTTTGGTTCAAATGTCTACGCCATTGCCGTATTACGACCGAGTCGCCTACACGGTCCAACTAGACGGAATCAGAGTAGGGAACAAAATTCTGGCACTCCCGAAGTCAATATTCGCACCAGACCACACCGGCGCCGGGCAAACCATGGTAGATTCAGGGACCCAGTTCACGTTTCTTCTGGGACCAGTGTACACGGCTTTAAAGAACGAGTTTGTGGTACAAACGAAGGGCATTTTGGTCCCACTGGGTGATCCAAATTTCGTGTTTCAAGGAGCGATGGACTTGTGCTACAGAGTACCCGAGAAACAGGGGAAACTGCCGCCACTGCCGGTAGTGAGTCTGATGTTCCGTGGGGCGGAGATGGTGGTTGGCGGAGAGGTGCTAATGTATAAAGTACCGGGAATGGTAAGGGGTGGTGACCAAGTGCATTGCTTGACGTTTGGGAATTCGGATTTGTTAGGAATAGAAGCATTTGTGATTGGGCATCATCATCAACAAAACGTGTGGATGGAATTCGACTTGGTGAAATCAAGGGTTGGATTTGTAGAGACGAGGTGTGATTTGGCGGGTGAGCGGCTGGGGCTGGGGCCTTAAAAAATTAAAAAAGAACTTCGAATTGAAAAATGGCCCGAAGCACTGCCCAATCCATGGCCCACCTCAAGAGGGAGGAGGTGGCCCATTGATCGGACAGGCACGGGAACAGAGTCTCTCTCTCGGGTTTTATTTTATTTTATTTTTAAAAAAATTTTGATTGCTCTGTGAGATTCTCTGAAGAACATTGTGGAGATGTCAGGTCTTTTTGTTTTCGAAATGGTTCAAAATTTCTTTTCCATGTTTTGTTCATTGGGCTTGGTGTCGTGTTGGGTCATTCAGTTAGTACAATTTTGAATTGTATATATTTATATATATATATATATATATATATCTATATATTATTATATTATTGGTGTTTTCTGTCTTCAAGTTCTGACTTTTGATAAAGATAAAGGTTGCTAATTTTGCCAGCGCATCCTCTTAGCCCACCCCCACCTGCCGCCCCCTTTTGAGATTAAATCAATTTTTGACAAAAAGAAAAATTAAAAAAACAATAGGGTTTTTGTGAGCCGGGTGAATTAAATTGAAGATTTTTAAATATTCATGGTAAATTAATTTTTTTTAATAAAAAAGTATATTTGTGGAATTAAGAAAAAAAAAAATTAAAGAAACATGGACACTATGTAGTAGTATCACGTGAGATGAAAATCACGAGGGGGGCAGTACACACGTGTGGTTTGTTTTTAAGGAAAGATGCAAGTTGCCGACCAACCAGAGTCAATCAGTTTGACACGTGTCATAGAATAAGGCGTGGACTCTATACACCTCAACCACAAAGGCCTAACTGCCTTGTTTATTGATTTTTGTCGTTTCTATTATATTTTTTATATTTCACAAATAAACTAACCCTTTCATTTTATTAATTGTATTAGATAAATACAGAAGCAAGATATAAAATTTAAAAATTTGTTATATAAAATATTATTATATATTTCTTTAATATGTTTTTGAAAACCTATTTTATAACCGATACATTTTAAAATTGTGAGATTGATGATAAACATAACTGGTCAAAGCGGATAATATCTATTAGCAGTGGTTTCGGAACTGTTACAAATGGTATCAGAGTTAGTCACATGATGGTGCGAGACAATAGTAGGAATAGGGCTAGACCCTCTCTATAATAGATGCATTTTAAATTCGTAAGAGCTGATAACAATACGTAATGAGCTAAAACGAATAATATTTACTAATGGATGCATTTGAAGCGAAGACGCTGGCTCCCAAAATGTAGAAACCTCTCTCTCTAATAGATGCATTTGAAGTATTATTTGGACTTATTTTTGATGTCCTCCAACAAACAAATGAATAATTTAACGTAATGGATAAGACCATTATTATTATTATTAAATTTTTAAAAGATAATATGGTTAAATCTTAAAAATGGAAATAGTTTCAAAATCATAGGTAGATATAAAATTTGCATTAATGAAGTTTGAAATTAGAATTAGGGCCATAGAATGGATCGGGTCGGTTGGTTTTTGGAAGGGTATGGGCCATGGGTCGTTCGGTAACGCTCGGGAAAAGTCTAGAGATTAGAAGAAGCAAAAGCAGGCGTTAGAACATAGAATTTGACCAAATCAAAATACTACGTCGTTTTGCGCATTCAACTCCATCTCCCAAAGCCTACCTTACTAGGAAGCGAAGCCAAGCGAAACACGGGTCACATAGCAACTCAACGCGTCCGAGTCACTTCCCTCACTAGACTCGCTCCTCCATCTTCTCCGTCGCCACATACGGGTTTTCATTCTCACATAATTTTAAGATACCCCATCGCCAAAACTGTCCGATTCCAAGCAAACTCTGTCGCTTTTGGACCAACACAATCACCCCTATTTACTCGATTCTGTTCTGTAAGTCTCGGATTTCCCTCACGAAGGATTATTCTGGTTTGATTATTTGCTGATCCCTGTTCTCTTGTGCCTTAATTTCTTGGGATTCGGTTTCTAGGGTTCCTTAAATGAGTGATTTTTATTTTTATCGTTTGAATTTCACTTGTTCAACTGTCATCATAGCTTACGGGGCTGTAAAATTGTTTCGTCTGTCTGATTCCATTCATGTTTTTCGCTACATTTGACTATCTACGGGAGTTGGCTACGAATGTCGGGAATTGAGAATTTAGATGAAAAGAATTCAAAGCTGATCTGGTTCAACCGACCGATAGTTCTGATTTCGAAGTTGAGCATTTGCATTTTAGTGCAGACCTCAATCATGTCAATATTGGATGTCTGTATGCACTTCAGTTTGTGTGCAGTCATCTTTCGGTCGTTTGGTGTTCATTAGATGGCCATATGAGGGGGAATGTCACTGGATGTCTTTCCATACAATGCTGATTCATTCCTTAGAGGATATTCAGGATTGATATATTGTCTGAAGGAATCAATAAATTTGAGTTATCTAGTCTTTATGGAGCAGATGATTAGCTCATGAATGTGATTTATGCATTGAATTTGACAACTAGGAAACAATTAAGAACATGTCAATGCTTACGGATAGACCATTCTCATTGGGGCTGAGAATGATGAATGATTGGTTATGTAGTAAGGCGATGCGGGCATCATTTGATTCATTTTGTTTGTCTATTAAGATACTGGAGCCTCTTTCTTTATCAGTTCTGCAGATAATTATCATGAGTTCATCTGAATTTCATTCTGTAGATTCTCATTTCTCTGACATCAACCAGCTGTCGCAACTACTGCAGACATGAGTTTTGTTTTCCGTGGAACAAGAGTTCCAGACATAGAAAATGGTCTATCTGGATTTATACCTGAACGGCGTGCAATGGTATGCTCAATATTTTACACTCTCGACTTGTTAATACCAATACTTGAAAATTTATAGAACCTGCACTTGTCATGATCTTAATTTAAAATATATGGTTTTTCTGCTCCCAATCAGCGGGTTCATGCAGCACGTCCTGTTAACTCAAACTCACTTGCCTTTCTTGTCACAGGTACCATTTCACCTATATACAGACTAATATCTGTTTCATGTGATAATTTTGATCTATTGCATTGTTTTAACTCCTTGACCTTGTTGCAGTCCTTTTGTTGTTCATGATGTTAAATTCTCACCAGATGTCACCGAACTTTCTGGTAAGTTTTACATTTCACACTGGATGAGCAGTAGACTGGTGTTACTCTACCCTTGAGCAAATCTTTACATTTTCTTCCTTTGAACATGCATATTTAGCTCTGGCTTGTGCTTGGTGTGTTTTTGATGGCTACAACATTAAGGATGTATGCGACCTGTCAACAACTTCAGGCTCAAGCCCAAGCTAGAGCTATGGCAGCCAGTGGCCTTCTTGGGCACACTGAATTGAGGTTACATATGCCACCATCAATAGCACTTGCTACTAGAGGACGTTTACAAGGGCTAAGGCTTCAACTTGCTCTGCTTGATCGGGAATTTGATGATTTAGGTATGGTTCAAATCTAAAAAGTTTAAGTTCGTTGTTTCTTGTAAAAGTTTTTTTATGGATGATAATGTAGTAACATATTGTTTATCTTCAGATTATGAAACTTTGAGAGCTTTGGATTCTGACAATGCTCCGACAACACCTTCTATGAGTGAGGAACAAATAAATGCTCTTCCTGTTCATAAATACAAGGTTTCTGGTCCTCAAAGGTAATCAGCCCCATACTGTCTACAGTCCAGAAAGAATTAGGGTATCTTGCCTTATTCTAAGATTTGCTTGGAAGACTCATATTCTGTGGTGAAAGATTTTTCAACGATGAAATCCATGCACTTGAGCTTGCACTCATAAACTAAAGTAACGTTTTCATTAAATTATCTACAGCGACCCCTCTGTGAACCAGCAGGCTTCATCTTCAGAGTCTAATGAGGTATTTGTTAGATTTCTTTTTCCTTACGTGTTGATTCTTTTATTGCCTTAAACATGTACGTGTTCTTAAATTTTGATTGCAGAAGAGACAAGATTCAGCTAATGCAGTTGGCAGTACCAAGGCCTCGGAGGATGAACTTACGTGCAGTGTTTGCTTGGAGCAAGTAAATGTTGGTGAACTCGTACGTAGTCTGCCATGTTTACATCAGGTTTATCTCTATCTCCTTCTCTATCTCACCTTTTCTTCCAAATAAATGGTTGCCGAGATTTCATTTGAAAAGTCATGGACTTGGTTCATTGTTCTTCCCTTAAAATCTTGATACATCTTCTATCGCATGCATTCCTATACTTTTTTTAATTTGAATTTGGTTATACATGAATTCAATCTTGCAGTTCCATGCCAACTGCATAGATCCATGGCTGCGACAGCAGGGCACGTGCCCTGTTTGTAAATTCAGAGCGGTGTCTGGGTGGTCAGAACAGGGACAAGGGGAAACCGATGCGTATTCGGTTTGATTGAAGGCAAGGCAAGTTATCGAACTATGCTTGATGCCTGCTTAAAGCGCAGCGTATATGGACAGACATGGTGTAATTAGGATGAGGGTAGGAATTACAGGAAGTGCGATTGCCTTCTTTGAACTTCTACAAGCCATTTATTAATTGTATTCTTGAAGTTGATCATTTGTTATATAGTCTCTGACCATTGCGAGTGAGCAGAATTTTGTTCTTTCACTATCTTCCATGTAGTCCAAACCTTACCAGCAAGTGCTTGTTATATCTAGAACTCTTTCATGATTCTCTAATGCGTTCAAATCTCCGTCTTCACATTTGAAGTGCAAAATAATATTGTAAAAAGAAAACGATAAAAAGGGCCACTCCTGCTACTCACGCTACAATATGCAAGCATATAAATGCGTTGTCAGCTACGTATGGGCTAATCCGTGAAATTAAAAGCAAAATGCTAAAGTTCAAATCCAGCATACAATCAAAATACTCAGCGGCGTGACTCACTATTTGTAGCAGCAAATTCAAATGTATTACAAACCCATGGCTTCAAAGTTTCATCTCATTTATTTTGTTCAACTGACCTCTTGCGTTGTAGAAATGTTAAATGCAACTGGGTACCAACGTTATTTTGCTTTGTTCTTTCCCTTTCCACCCTTTTTGGCATCTAACTTGGCTTGAATGCGGGCAGCTGCCGCTGCTTTGGCTTCGTCTCTCTTCTTTTTCTCCTCCTCTTTTATTGCAGCAGTAGCCTCCCTTTGCCTTTTCAATTCTCTGATTCAACAATGTTGTAAAAAACAAATCATTATGACCAATATGAAAAAGGTGGATCGTTGAAGTAGTGGATTACTTACTCGAGCCTGGCCCTTTCCTCCGAAACACTGCCTAGACTTGAGCCTTTCCGTGGCTTGCAGGCCACTAGTTCCACCTCGAAAATAAGAGTTGCACTGCAAGAGAGTAAGACAGTGGCTTATGAATTTATGAATTTATCACCTAAAATTGGGGTGCACATATACATGAGGCATTTGAATAGGAGAATCCATTGCACTTGCAATGGCCGACATACTTCATGAGCAAAATTTCCAAGTGAAAAAGGGGCTGGAAGGTCCGGTCCAAGCCAATGCAGAATACTATTATTGACAGTAATCGTTTGTACTAAAATGAATTTGAGACATTATCATAAAGGCATTACCAAATCCGGTGTCTCGTTTATCACAAGAGAAAGAAGAAAGAGTAAAGACATTACTTTGGTGGGATGTCTGGTGGAGAACCAGCACTTCCATAAGCATATTCAGGCTTGCAAGTGATTTTAGCAACCTCACCGACCTGTTGGAACAATCCAACAGAACAGTATTCAGAAGAAAAAAAAAAAAAACAGCACAACATGCTGCATATCTTTCTGATGGAAAGCTTGTTTTTTTTTCTTACCTTCATTGTCTTGACAGCAATTTCCCAAGCCTGGATCACGGATCCTTTTCCAAGCTCAAAAGAGAAAATGGTATTATCCTCACGAGTAGAATCAAATACTTCGCCAGATTCAGCGAGAACTCCTTCATACTGTACTGCTCCACTCAACATATGGCAAAAGTTAATAGAACTTTTTGGAGGAACAAAAAGCTTTAAGAATTTACGATCAAGGGTAATTCAAAAACAAATGTGAAGATGGCAGAATGGGATGAAGGGGGATTTGTTAAAAGTCTGAGAGGAAGGTTAATAAGTTGTATATTCTAACTCATGGGAACGTCAATCACAAATAAACCAGAAAGCAGCAGTGGGAATGAAACATGACTAAACAGTCAGGTGACTAATCAAACAGTTCAAATTCATGAGACGAAACAATATGTAACCAAGAAAAGAACTCAAATGACAAACAGGGAAGGAAGTTTCTATCTATTCATTGACTACCTTAAATGCAGGCAGAAACAGTATGTAACCAAGGCTCAAAGGTAACTCGTTCAAGTCTTCCTCTTGAATTTTACTCATATACTATCAGTCTCAGTAGTTTGCAATGTAATGTCAGTGAAGAAGTAAACCATAATTTTGCTTTAAAAAATGTACCATCAACAAGAGGAAGGTCATCGGTTGGAGCATCAGCATTGGCTTTGGCATGCCTTACGATTGTCTTCACAACACCTCCATTCCCGGTTAAGTCTACCGTATCACCCATTGCTCACCAAATGCGAACGTACTGAATCAAATAAATGAACATAGATTTGTCAGAACTAGGCAAAATTTCAAGTATGACACCATCTGTCTTGAACAATTTCGAGTTAAACATAATTAAGGAAAGCAGCCCAAATCAAATTTCTTTTCTCCTAATTCTTTCTTACTCCAAATACAAAAAAAAAGCCTGATAGAAAAAGAAAACGAATGTGCCAGAAGGTCTACATAAAACGCACGAAAAACGAACAAACATATAGCAATGAGTGCATAAAATCGAGCCCTAAACTCAAAAGAAGATGAACAATCGGGAATTATAAATAAACGCAAAATAACCTGCACATAATAGCAACAACTTCCAGCAATTGAGAGAATTTTGCGTCTACCAAACTACAAAGCTCCACAATTCACTCCATTTATCCAAATTCATTTCAATTATTTTACTACCGAAAGGAAAAATTAACAGAAATGAAAATTTGCAATCATCCTGAAATATAGTTCGAAAAGATTTGAGTTTGAGCGAAAAGGTTTCTGAAAATTACGAACCCAGAAGCGGAAATTTGGGAATCGGGCCAATTCTGAGAGGATATATCGTGTGCGGGTCGGATCGTCGCGTCGGCTGTTGGCCATAGGCGGCGGGATGGAGCGCTGATTTGGGAGAATTGCGCAGGGTCTGGTTTAACCTCAATGTCACGCCGCACGTGTGAAGGACGTGTAACATTTTGCTTCAATACGACGCTGTTTGAAGGACATCAATCAATTTTAATAACAAATTAAGCACAGCCATAAAATAAAATTATAATACCAAAAGAAAAATAAAATAAAAAACATTGTCAGAAGTGGGACCCACCCCATGCTCAAAAGGGTCAACATTTGAACGGCACGATTCGATTCAAATTATACCGACAGCCAAAGAAGAACCCGAGCTCTGAAACTGCCCTGCCCCCACTCACCATTTACCCTCTTCGGTTCCCTGTATGTCCCCGGCCCCGCCATGAGATAGGAGGAAACGCAATGTCGTTTCTTGGAGCGCTCTCTTCTGGTGCACCCTCTTCCTCGTTCTCTCGTTTTCTCCACTTTCACATTATCCATTTTTGCCTCGTCTACTGTGGTATGTTTTTTTTTTCCTTCCAATTTTTGTTTCGATTTCCATCCCCCAATTGCTTCAACTGATTTCTCTTTAGATTTTTGCCTGATCGATCTCCAGTGCTGTTGTGCTTCCGGAATTTTCTTCTGTCTTTGTTTGGAATTTGATTTTTGAGATTCCATTGGATGTTCATAAATTGTGTAACAGATACGTTTCATCCTGAGCTGGTTCATACTCGGCGAACTCTGGTGAACAACGTTTCCAACGATTCCTCTCTTGATTTTGGGTCATCGGTTCAAGAAACAGTGACCCTCCCTGATCAGGCTCTCGTTTTTCTCAACTCACCCACCAACTGTTCGACCATTTGCCTAAGAGGATATCGACTGCGTTTATTTTGCGGGAAACGCGTCGGAGTTCCGGAGATGGCGGGAAGCGATCTACGTGGATGGTGAGGATCATCTGCTGAAGCAAATGGTCCGGTGCCCACTCCTACCTCGTGGGTTTACAGTTTCAATTAGAGTGAGATCCAACGCTCATCTCCAAGGTGGAAACTCGCACCGGTGGAACTCTCTTGTGTACGAAGCACTAGTCGGCCGAGACAACACCACCGTGGTCTTCGTCAAAGGCCTCAATCTCCGCCCTGAACGGGTCTCCAACGCGTCGAGATGTAAGTGTGTTTACGGCTTGGGATTTTCGGAAGGTCGAGTTTTTGCTAAGATCCGATGTCATGTCGATTGCTCAAGAAATTGCGTGCTGGAACACCCCTGAGTTTGCTCTGCAATCCCAATAGAACCCATGATTTTGAAGTATCCATTAGAGTGAAAGGCGGAGGAACTTGGCATTCAGTAGCCCGCCCATTGCTCCCATCAGGATCCACAACACCTCACCGGAAGCCCCACGAGATGTGCGTATGCACAGTGGTGCGCAGTTTCTTAAGGAATGGATCATTTACCATGCCATCTCGATGTACGCCGCTGGTTCATCTGTGGAAACAACAGCGTTGACGACATAGAAGACGTGATTGCATCAATGTCCACTGTCAAACACAACATTTCTCGACATATCTGGCCCTGGATTAAGACCCAATAAGCTGGTTTTGCACATTGTGCATTACGGGCTCGCGATTCTTGCAAGTGGGTCGGATTCATTGATGTCGACGAGTTCTTCTACCTGCCAAATGGGCTATCTCTGCTCGACGTGCTCAGAAACCAAGCCAAAAACGTTACCGTTGGGGAGATACGCGTGTCCTGCCACAACTTCGGCCCATCCGGGCTGTCACGGATGCCGCCGCAGGGGGTGACGGTGGGGTACACTCGCAGGAAAGCGGTGGCGGAGAGGCACAAGAGCATCGTGAACCCGGAGGCTTTGAACTCCACATTGATCAACATGGTGCATCATTTCCACTTGAGAGATGGGTTTCAGTGTATGAATTTGGAGAGGTCTGAGATGGTTATAAACCATTACAAATACCAAGTTCGGGAAGTGTTCAAGGAGAAGTTTCGCATGCGTGTGGCGACGGATTGGCAGGAGGAGCAGAATGTGGGCTCAGAAGGACAGAACGCCAGGGCTGGGGACTAAGGCAGTGAAACCAGAGGACTGGTCGAGTCGTTTCTGTGAGGTCAATGACACTGGGCTACGGGAAATGATTGCATGCAGCTTTTAAACACAAAATAGAAAAGAATATGGCGTTGAAAAATTATGCATTTAAAAGAGGAAGAGAATTGTGAATCTAATCTTCCATGAAGAGGACCCAAGATTATTAGGTCAGGATCACAAAATTTAAAATTCAAGAATAATTTTGAAAAATTAAATTAATAAATAAGCATAACCATAAAAATGTGTAGAACTATTTATTTCCATTTTAAATACATTAGTTAGATACAAGTTGATGATTTAAGAATATTTTTATAAACTTCAAAGTTTTTTAAGAAATATATAATTTATTTATTTAAATATATAGCTGTCTTTTGAGACTCAAATTTTTTTTAGAACAATAATTTAGAGAGAAATTCTTCAAGAGTTTAAGCCAATGAAATAAATAAATCTGAAAAGGAAATAAAAAGGGAATGTTTTTGAGTGAAAAAAAAAAGAAAAAAGAAAAAAAAAAAAAAAGAGGAAGAAATTCCAAAGATAGTAGGAAGGGAAAGGGAGGAAGAAAATGGAAAAGGTGATTATAAAAAAAAACTGTTGTTTTGCTAAACAAAGCATTGGAACAACGATGAGAACAGCAGCTATGGATTGCTGTTCCCTAACCTAACCTTTTTTGCTACTCACTGGGTTGGGTTCCAATCTCCTTCTCGGCCCTCTTCTTTATCCTTCTTCTCTCTCTTTCGTCGCCTCTCTCTCTCTGTTCATTTCTTGTAATAACAGGCGCACCTGGTCTTTGTTTGACACCCTAAATCCACATCCATGTCTTCTATACATATGTAATTCCAATATCCCTCTCCTCTTTAATTTTACTTCCTCACATGGAACTTACTTTTTCCCCTCTTCTCGCACCGCACCCTTTCTTCCTATTTTTGATTTTGAATCTAATTTGAATGTGGCTCAGTTTTGTCATCCCCTTGCTTTTTGGGAATTTTGCAGGCTGCTTTTGCTGGAGATTGGTGTGGGTCAATAGATCATGCCCAGATCTTGTTCTATCTTGATCCACTTGCTTATCTTCTCGACCTTAATAAAGTGAAGGAGAATAGAGGCGGAGGAGAGAGACGAATATAGCGAGGTGATTAGCTACTGCCCTTTTCTTCTTTTTGTGGTTCAAGATGGAAGTCAATGTTTCTTCAGCTTGCTCTTATGATTCTGCTTTAAACGATCTTAAAATGTTTCATTTAATGTCATTTTCCTCTGCATCTGCCCATCTGGGCTTGTTGGTATAACCCCAGAGGAGAAAACCTGGTGTTATTTTCTTCATGGTAGAGTAGGCCTTTTCCCCCCCTTCTTCTTGAACTCAATAAATAAGGAAACGAAACTTTGAAGTGCTAAACATATTTAGTTTCTCAATCAGGAGGTTTTCCCCCACTTGATTGCACCATTTCCTGTAAGGCTATACGTTACTGGTATTGTCATTGAAATGATTTTGAATTTTATGCTCAATTTTCTCTCTTTTCTTTTTCAAGATGGAATTTGGTTGACTACATTCCGGAATTTCTTGTTTTTTTTTTGTAGGTTGATTGATCCATGTAAAAGAATCTGCATCTGCTTTAGCAACTAGAGAATTAGTGAGTGTTTTGAAGTGAACAAGGAAAATCTTTTGTTTTTCCATTGAAGTCATGATTAAACAAATACTTAATAGGCTTCCTCGAAAACCTTCCAAGTCAACCGAGCATCGTGAAGGAGCAGGGACAACCGTCTCTTCTTCGCATGCCTCTACAAGTTCAAGGAGCAATGATGTAGTAGCTAACCACCATGCCAACACTGGAACTGGATCTTTTTCTGGCCCCAATTCTGCTTTGAATGCTGGACTAAATCATGGGAGTAAGTCATCTCAAGGGCTCAATGCAAAATCAAATGGTAACTCACAAGCTTCTTATGAGGCACTGCCGGGTTTCAAGGATGTTCCAAATTCTGAAAAGCAAAGTTTGTTCATTAAAAAGCTGAACATGTGTTGTGTGGTGTTCGACTTCACCGACCCATCAAAAAACCTCAAAGAAAAGGATATCAAACGACAAACACTGATAGAGCTTGTTGATTATGTGGCGTCTGCAAATGGAAAGCTATCAGAAAATGTTATACAAGAAATTGTAAAGATGGTGTCCTCAAATTTATTTAGAACACCTACCATTCCATCACGAGATAGCAAAGGTTTAGAAGCCTTTGATCTTGAAGAAGAGGAGCCCTCAATGGACCCTGCATGGCCACACTTACAAGTTGTCTATGAGTTTCTGCTCAGGTTTGTGGCATCGCCTGAAACAGATGCAAAGTTGGCAAAGAGGTACATCGATCATTCTTTTGTTCTCAGGATGTTGGATCTTTTTGATTCTGAGGATCCTAGAGAGAGGGATTACTTGAAAACAGTTCTGCACCGCATATATGGGAAATTTATGGTACATAGACCATTCATCAGGAAATCAATCAATAACATTTTCTATCGGTTCATTTTTGAAACTGAGAAGCATAATGGGATTGCAGAGCTTTTAGAGATTTTGGGAAGTATAATCAATGGATTTGCTCTTCCTCTAAAAGAAGAGCATAAACTCTTTCTGGTTCGAGCACTTATCCCTCTTCACAAACCTAAATGCATACCCATGTATCACCAGCAGTTATCTTACTGTATAACACAATTTGTGGAGAAAGATTGCAAGCTAGCTGATACTATCATAAGGGGCTTACTGAAATATTGGCCAATTACAAATAGTTCGAAGGAGGTGATGTTCTTAGGTGAACTTGAAGAAGTGTTAGAAGCAACTCAGCCCGCTGAGTTCCAGCGTTGCATGGTACCCTTGTTTCGCCAGATTGGACGTTGCTTGAGCAGTTCACATTTTCAGGTAGACTATGTGGAGTTATTTTTCGTTTTTGCTCAATTTACTAGCTTCTACTCCTTTTTAGCTTCATGATGATTTTTACCAACATGTCCCTACCCTGGGAAGTAGAATAGATATTAAATACTCAAAATTTGATGCTTACTATTTTTTGCCACACAACGTAGGTAGTGCATTAAAGATTTCTTTGCATGCTTTTAGTTTATAACCAATATCTGGGATTTAAGTATGACCTGTGAGATAGGTTCTTAGGTCGGTTAATTGACCTGTGAGATGATATTAAGGAAGGGAAATTGGTGAAACTAATCTAGAATCCAAAATTTTTATAGATGATTTTTCTAACCTTTTTGACAGGTGAATTATCTTTTTACCCTCAGGTTACATAAACATCAATTGCCCAGAAAATTTCATCCTCCTCTATCATCTCTATCTTCTTTTATGCCTTCTCCTCTCTCTCTTCTCTCATTCCAACCTTTTCTTTTGAACTTTAATCCACGGCACTGTTCTTCTTCTTCTCTCTTTCAAATCTCTCTTTTTTTTTTCCTTACCTTTGTCTTCTCCCTCTCCCACCCTGCTCCAATGTGACTTGAGTACCACAACTCAAAATGGTGAAGAAAAATATTATGTAATCCAGTTTGAGGTTCAAAACGATCATTTCTAGGATGAATGGTCTAATAAGTTGCCTTCTAGCATATATATATATCAAAAAGTTACTCGAAAAAATAAAATTCATCCATTTTGGTCAACTGAGCTCGAAGTTATGACTTATACTTAGATCATTTTGGCTTTTAAAGGCATTAAAAGCCGAGAGGCTTTAAAATTTTCTTAGTTGATATGCTTGGTTGGAAGTCACAAGAAAAAATGTATGAATACGAGTGGTCATTTATCTCAAATGAAAATACGACCAAAATATGATCTTAATCTACTTTCAATTGTAGGTCTAAGATCTATCCTAGATTGTATCCTACAATTTAGGATCGATTGATCGAATGCACACCAAAGATATGGTCATAACTTTGAGCTCAATGGTCCAAATTAAATGAAGTTTTTTTTTTTTTTCCTTGAACTTTTTGAGACGTGGTAGAAGATAGCTTATTTGACCCTTCATCCCAAAAATGGTCGTTTTTAACCTCAATTTAGATTATATAAGGTTTTTCTATAACATTTTGAGTTGTGGTGAAAAAAAAATGTTGTGGATCGACCTTGAAAAAGAAAAGGTTGGAATGAGAGAGAAGAAGATAGAGTTTTGAATTTACATATGACTTAGTTTTTTCATATTTAATATTAACTAATGAAAACGGTGGGTCCTAGCCCTCACCTTTATCCGTTGGCACTGTTGTTTATTTTCTTTCATTCTGGCAATCTCTTTAAAGCATGAGACGGGCTGGGAACATTATCTCTTTGGAGCTTAAGTGCAAGGTGCTAGGAATATGTGAAAGGAAGAATAATATGAAGTTTTAGAGCTGGAAGTTCAAATCCTATTTTTGTCTTTGAACTTTCATGCTTGTTCTTTTTGGCATTTAAACTTCAAGCATGCTATCTTAGTCCCTAAACTTTAAACTGTTCTATTTTAGTCTCTAAACACGGTTGAGACATTTATCTACAATGACATCTACTCATCATTTTGGTAAACAAAAAATTTGCTAAAATGATTTTTTACTAAGAATTTAGGGTCTAAAAAGCTCGAAATGGAACTGATAGCTCAAGGACCAAAAGAAATGAAGGCTTTGTTTAAGGCTTTAATATTAGTCAGAGAGTGATTGTCTTTACTACAGTCATCCTAACAGTTCTCTCCCGTGGTTCTTTTACGTCCTAAATGGCTGAAGCTTAGGCAGAAAGGTGCTTAGGGTGCATCCAACTAGCTCACTTCCCCTTGTGGTTGCATAGGTGCACTTTCTGAAACAGGGGATGTTACTGACAAATATTTTGATAACCTGTGGTCTCACAAGTTCTATTTAAATATAGCTGTTGTTGGAATTATTTTGGAGGATTATTTGTTTATTTATTCCAGTAGAAAGAAATGAATCTTCTAGATTCCTTGTCTCACGTTGTACCATGTTTATCTTGTTCATTTTCAGGTGGCTGAAAGGACTCTGTTTTTATGGAACAATAGTCACATCGAGAACCTAATCAAACAGAACCTCAAAGTGATTTTGCCGATTATATTTCCTGCACTGGAGAGAAATTCAAGAAACCATTGGAACCAGGCCGTACAAAACTTGACACAAAACGTCCGAAAGATCTTCTTGGATGCTGACCCTGAGCTGTTTGAGGAATGTTTGCTCAAATTTCAAGAAGAAGAGACACACGAGAAGGATACGAAATCTAAGCGCGAGGCTAAGTGGAAACGCTTAGAGGAGATAGCTGCTGTGAAATCTGCAAGTAATGAAGCAGTTCTCGTCTCTCCCAAAGTAGCCTTACGAGCACCATCTGGCTAGCTAGCTAACAACAGAACTTCAAATGGGGGTGTTCAGCAGATTTGGTTTTCCAATTGGTATGTGGGCATAAAAGTTTATCTAATCACTCACCTCACCATGTGATGAAAGCAGCAGCCGCAGTTAAATTGGTCGTCCCATTATGAACAAATTGGATTGAGGTGCAGTGAGAGAAAGTTGATATTGGTGCTCTAGCTGAGATTTCTATTTTGCATACATTTTCTGTGTATATGTGATTGGGAGGGGGTTGGATTCGGGTTGGAAAATTTCTGTTTTATTGTTGAATGGGTGAAAAGCAAGAACGAAATTCAATTTTTTTCATAATTGTGCTCATCAGTATCTGGATGATGGTCCCTTGTAGTTTACTGCTTCTGTAATTCAAGTTATTGGTTTCTTTTTTTCTGTCCCTTTCTAGGTACCTCTGGATTTCAATTTGTTTGAGCAAATGATATATACTCAGATATTTTGAAGTGACTCTAAACGGCACGGCAAAGGAGATTTTGTAGCTGTCATTTTGGATGCAGAAAGTATGAGTTTGGACCATCCATTGGTTTTAGCTTGATACCTAAAAATCTTTGCAGATCATTCAGGCAGCTTTGAATGTGTTGATCAATCTTGTTTATCCTCCACCATCAATCACCAATAAAACACCTATGTAAGTCATGCAAGAATCGCAAGAAATGCAGAACGCGTCCCAAATCTCCACTACTCTTGTTGAAGAGAGTAAAGATAGAAATGCAGAACTTAATTCTGGATTATGAGAGGCTACATCCATGTGTAACTAAGAGCATAGTAATGCAGAACGCATAGGTAATAATTCTTTGGAGCACTTTTGGTATCCACATGTCATGTAATTCTGGATTATGAGAGGCTACATCCATGTGTAACTAAGAGCATAGTAATGCAGAACGCATAGGTAACAATTCTTTGGAGCACTTTTGGTATCCACATGTCATGTAATTTTGGATTATGAGAGGCTACATCCATGTGTAACTAAGAGCATAGTAATGCAGAACGCATAGGTAACAATTCTTTGGAGCACTTTTGGTATCCACATGTCATGTGCGCTGTGTGTTTTGCCTCACTAAACTTGTGTGTTTTTAAATATTTATCTGTTAGGATGGAAACATAGTACTTTACTATACGACATTTACCCATGTTAACAATAACAGCGTAGTCTACATCAGTATTTTAATGCATTTCTAAAGGATGCAGACTTTGCCAAGTATCCATATTGATATAAGAAGTTCGAATAGAGTTCTAAGATAAAAATAAAAGATCTTGAGAGTGCCAAGATCACAACGTTACACACGCAAACTAATTTTTCTATCTAGAATTGTCCCCAACCACCATTTTGATGATTGCTTCGCTTGGCCTCAGCATCTGCCCAAATTAGTCCAATCTTGACTTGTTGTTCGGCTATAAGCGTCCAGATCTTAGCAGTCTCATAATCTTGGAAGGCAACTTGGTTTAGCTCCACAGAGTCAGAAAATTCCCTGCTGAATTCCAAGTGTTTTGTTCGACATTGGAAAGTTAGTTTCTGAGGTTGTGTAGTGGGTTGGGCTGCTTAAGCTGGGCCGCCCGTGGGCTGGGCTGCTTAAGCTGGGAGGCCCGTGGGTTGGGCTGCTTAAGATGTGCCGCCCGTGGGTTGCGCTGCTTAAGCAGGGCCTCCCGTTTGGTTGGGCTGCTTAAGCTGGGCCACCCGTGGGTTGGGCTGCTTAAGCTGGGCCTCCCGTTTGGTTGGGCTGTTAAGCTGGGCCGCCCGTCGTTGCGCTGCTTCAGCTGGACCGCCCGTCGTTGCGCTGCTTAAGCTGGGCCTCCCGTTTGGTTGGGCTGCTTCAGCTGGGCCGCCCGTGGGTTGCGCCTGCTTAAGCTGGGCCTCCCGTTTGGTTGGGCTGCTTAAGCCGGGCCGTTTGGGCAAGGCGGCCGAGTGTCGGGCCACTTCTTCTGTTCTCAAGACCCTTCTTCAAAACCCTACTTCTCAAGAAAGATGAATAGCTTCTTCTCAAGAACGACTCACCGGCTTACAAAGGAGGAGTGTGGAGAAGTGTTAAAGACCTAAGGAGGAATGTTAAATCATGTATTTATTTAGATTTAGTTTTGATTAGATTTTATTTTGATTTATGTACTGGTTTGTTGATAGATTTTTTGAATATCTTTTGTATTTTTGTATTCAATGTATGAATATGGAGCATTCTTGCTCTCCAAAATTCAATTCTTGCTCTCCAAAATTCAATTATCTAAGGGATCATTCAATCAATCCCTCTTTCAAATAAGCATTGAAGTTGAAGGCTCAAGCGGCCCAATTGACCTATTGTTTGATTTGGCACGCTCAATCGCCTGTTGCAATAATATGAACATCATCAAATCACATGCAGAGTTACATCTACAGTCAATCACGCCTAGACAACCTCATCCAAAATAACTTCATGTTGCCCTCTGCCACATGCGGCATAAAAGACGCACCTTCTTCTTCAGCCCTTTTAGCTAACATCTTTGCCCGCTCAAGCTCTTGCTGCAACTCCAGGTTCTGCTTCAAAGCCCGGGAAAGTGGAGGGCTAAAGGATATATCAACAAGAGTCAGCTCATCCAATATAAGGTTGAATTCTTTAGCACGTGGACCCAGTGCCTCAAGCATGAGAGCCGAGACATGAAACCTGTTGCTCAGAAGCTCATCAGCACTGAATTTAGAGATCACACTATTCAGGCTCGCAAATCCAATATCAGGGAGAACTCTCTTGTGGTTTTGGTGGAAAAAAGCCACAGGGAGGTGAGAAATATCGGGGTGAAAGAATACCCGTACAGTCGCGTTTACCTTCACAAGATCTTTGGTGTAGAACACAGAATAGAAAGTGTGAGGCTGCTTACTAATATCAAATACAAAGGGATTTTGCAGCCATGGAATAAAAAAATGAATTCCTTCGCCTACAGACTTGTCTTTGTCCGGTCGACCTCGAAACCGATCGTGGACCACCGCTCGTTCACCCTCGCGGACGGTGAACATAAAACTCCTTACAACTGTTACAACGCCAACGCCTAAGCCGACACACAGAGCAACTTTGGTGAGCATAATCAGGCTTTAGGGTTTAGGAAATCAATCTCCAGGGGAGAGATTGGGGCTCAAAGATTCTTATGAACTATAACCGAAAACAAAAAAAAAAAAAAAAAAAAAAAAAAAAAAAAAAAAAAA